TCCCCCCATCCATCACCCCCCACCACCACCACCACCGCGGGAAAGACCAGGAAACTGGAATTAGCATGAGCCAATCCGGATGCAGCGCTGTTACTAGGCGGACCGGGCAGATCTCCACGAGGAACTTAGTTGATCAGTGCGCTCAGGGACGGGCGCAAAAGTGCAAGTCCGGTCGGCGGGCGTGCAGAGCCGTCCAGGAACCCGTGGGGGAGGCGCAGGAATTTGGGACCAGGCGGGGAGCGCCCATCCCCCATTCGGGGAACCCCGCTCGACCAGCTCCAGAGTCCTGGAGAGGGGGCAGCAGTTCTGGGTCCTTTCCGGATCAATTGCTTTAGGAATCTCAGAGAAAGCGTTTGGATTTTTAATTTTTATTTTCCAACGAAAAAGCAATTTAACATACACATTTTCCTTGCAATTTTAACTTTTACATTGGCAAAAAACCAACCAAAAAAACAAAAAAAAACACACCACCTTAAAGCAGGAACTGCACGCTCTGGGATCACTTAAAGTGCTCTGCGCTTATTTTTGGTGACCTTTTGGAGACAAAAGGCCACTCGTCCAATCGAGAGGGGACTACGTTATTTGGAAAGAAAATCTCAGAGTAACTTTAATCCCCTTTCCGATTTCCTCCCTCTTCCACCCCTCGCCCCAGGCCAGGGTGGGAGAGAGAGAGAGAGAGAGAGAGAGAGAGAGAGAGAGAGAGCGCGCGGACTGAGTGGTAGACTTGCCACCGTCCCTGGCTGTGGGAACTTCATTGAGAGGGGGAAGGGAGTCTGTTCATTGAGGAACCCGCGCCGCCTAGCTCGGGGCTCTGGCGGGAGGTGTGGAGCGGGGCGACCATCCTGAGCCTCTGGCTGCAGCCCCTCAGGGAGAGGACCCGGAAGTGAGCAGACGTACCCAGGTGGGGTCACCTGCAGCCCAATACCTGGCGGCAACTTGAAAGCACCTCGCTGCTTCTGTTCCTGTTAGCCATTGTTAATTTAGCCTTTAAGTCGCCCTGGAAAACGCTTCTGAATATTGGCCGCAAGGTTTCGGAGCATTGCGGCTCCCCTCCCCTCCCCCTGCAGGCATTTTGGGGCGCGCATGGCAGCCCACGTGCTACGGGGCTGCTCCACCTAGGTTATCCTGAGCTGATCCTTATGCTTAGGACGGGTGTGTATGCTCAGTTTATCCTGTGCACACCTGGGACAGCCGCATCCCATCTTCCGGAGCTTGCATTTCCGAGTTAGTTTCAGTTCCCATAACCCAACCCCCTAGGGGAAGCTCCGACTGAGCCCTGGTGTGCCCAGGCTGGCTCCAGGGACCCCGAGGGTGGAGCTGTAACTTTAGGGAGGGGTGGTTGCTCGCTCTCCAGCTTTCCGAACGTAACACAAATGACCTGAGCAGTGGAACCCCAAAGTCTTTTGGGATTTGTCGACATTATCGCTCTAGCCCATGTCTCGCCTAGACTAAATGGTGGGTAGCGGGCTCCCAGGTGGGGAAGAAAATCCCAACAATCGGGCTAGTGTGGGCTACCCGTGGCCAGGCAGAACCACGTGGCCCAATCGAGGGTGCTCGAGCTCTAGAGTGCAGGTGCTGGAGCTGGGGGCACCGCGCCTCCGGCATTGGTCCCTTTGCACCCCGAAGGTGGTCAGGGGCCAGAGCTTCTATGGCCTGCTTCCTGCAAAACCTAGGCTTCTCCATTCTTAACGTAGGCCGGTGGGGGACAGTGAGGCCTCTAGAGCGGGGGCTCTGCAGGTTCCAGATCTCGAGACACCAGCAGTGACGGGACCCAAACAGGAAGGGCAAACTTAGCCCCAGGTTCTGGAAAGGGTAGTCTAGCTTCACATGCTGAGCCCTCTTCGGGGTCCTTGCTCTCCCGGTGGTGGTTGGGGGCAGGAAAAGCGGACTGACCACTAGCTGGGTACTGCCGTCCCACAAACGCACGCTGGTAGCCCTGGGGTCACGGCTGGGAGCGCGCAAGGCCGCACCGCGCATTCCGCGCATTCCCGCCCGGCCGGTGTTTCGCCGCCACGTGGTCGTCCTGCACGCCGCGCTTACCGTAAAGTTTGGAGGCGACGCGCAGCAGTAGCTCGTGAGCGTCTGCGGACGCTCGCCAAGGCCAGCTGTAGAGACAGCACTTTGATAGAGGCGCCGAGCCCGCGGGGAACGGCCCTTCCACGTTTATAAGGGGCACTATTCTGCCCTGGCTCCACTGATATGTGTAATAAGGTGACTGACTGACCATGTAAGGAACTGGACTGCGGAAGAAGCCAGAGAGGAGCTTCAGCCTTTGCTTCTGAAAGTTGAATTTTCATCATTATTCTAAGTCAGGTCAAGGCCCTGTTCTCAGGAGGCCCTGGCTGGAGGGTGCTTAGCAAACAGGAAAGTGTCCATAAACCCAGTATAACTATTTTTTAAAAATGAGTAAGGGTGGAGTTGGATAGATGGCTCAGCGCTTCAGAGTACTTGCTGATTTCCCAGAGGGCAGGATTCAGTTCCCAGCACCCACATCAGGCAGCTTCCAACCATCTGTAACTCCAGCTCTAGGGGATCTTGCACACTCTTCTCGACTCTGAGAGTACCTGCACTCATACATGCACATAGATACACTAATAAACAAACACATACATAAATAAGTAGAATGTAAAGGTAAGATTCAGCCCACCAAGGGATGACAGTTTCTGGTCAATCCAATGGAATGGATGCCTGCTTCTGCCACATCAAATTCAGGGAGTAGTTGGGCCCTGTAATGGTTAGTTTTAATTGTCAACCTGATGCAGCCTTGAATGACTTGGCTAGAGGGTCTCAAGAAAGCTTGTGGACATGGCTGTGGGTGATTGTCTTAGTTGCCTTAATTGATGTGGGGCCACCCAGTGTGGAAGTGGGGTGCACATTCCTGAGGCTTGGGTCCTGGGCTGAGTAGAGTGAGAGAGGTAACTGAGCACCCACGCATTCATGCCTCACTGCTCTTGGTGGATGTCATATGACCAGCCGCTTCTAGTTCCTGCCATATTGTCCTGCAGTGATGGACTATAAACCTCGAATTCTGAGCCCAAGCAGGCCCTTTCTGCCCCCCCCCCCCCAAGCTGCTTTTTGCCCTAATATTTTATCACATCAGTAGAAATGAAGCTAGGACATGCCTACTGGGAACATGTCTGATTTGTGACACCCCAGAGTCCTATAGGGGTCAGAGATTTTGAGGCCTCTTCTGGGTCATCTCTCAATCCCTGCTTTGA